TCGGTATTACTAAACCGGAAATATAGATTTGGCTACTCTCTAGTAAACGTCTATTGCGAAATACATTATAAGGTAATTGGATATGCATTGGATTTACTAATACTAAATAATTAATTACATAAATATACCGTATATTTGGATGGTGAAAAGCATCCCCAAACCAGCGATACAACTATTCAAACCAATTGCGACACTTATTACGATAAAAACAGATTCAAAACTAGTAAACAATTTAACCCAATGTCTATCGTATTCAGTACGACAGCTATGTCGGTGTCCAGGAGTGAATTGAGAGCATATGTGACAATTCTGGACAAATACAAGCCATCTGTCAAATTGTATTTACAATTTGAGATAGATGGGTTTTACACATCCTATCTTAGTTTTGTGAATGAGACCAACTGCTCGAAAGACAGGTGTCGGCGACCGGTATTTGTGGATCAAATCAATGATACTTTGTTACCACATTTGGAGGGAATCATTGACTACTATAATCCCCCCGATATGATGGGACATATGCTATGGTTCAACATTGATGGTCAGCCCCGCTATTGCTTCACATCTGAGGGCAAGGATCTCTCGAATCAGGTATTTATCATATAATTAATTTTAATTCAAATTTTTAAATTTATATAAAGTATAAAATATATAATGTATTGTTTGTATGTTTAAAGTGTTCAAAAGAGGAGAATATGATAGCATATGAATGTCCATTAGAGACACCAACTGATCCACCGATTGATGTGATTTCCACCCCTGAAAGTCTTAGTTCTACCGATGAATTGCTGATATTATTCATTATATTCATTATTTTGTTGATAATTGGAGTGATTGTTGTGGTAATCGATGTGTATTTGATTCGTAAAAGACATCAACAAATAAGTGTAATTCCATCGGACTCTTCGAGTGCATCCATAATGACCAACAAATACAGAGGTTTAAGCAGTTCATCAAAATCCATGAGTTCTGTTACCACAAGTGTTGATCGAAAAACAATTACCAAGAATTTAAAGTCGACATTAAATTCTAAAATATAATTATTTTTAAACATTTCTCTTTCAGAATATATTTAATTATACAATAAAATTATATGTATTTTGTTTTAAATAAGTATGAATTAACAGTTTACCTGTTTCTAGAATCAATTATTCAACACATTGTGTGCTAATTATAAATTATCAAATTATTATTTTGTTTAATATTAGTTATGTCTTGTTTCCTATATATTAATTGAATTCTTACGAAGAGACTAAATATATAATAAAAAACATGAGTTTACTGTATAGTTATGTAAACAAATTTAAAGGCAATTAAAAACACGAGTTTTATTAATTAAAAACTATTACTTTTGTTATATTGTAATTATGGATATATTTGAAACGATTGATTGCATTGTTATAAAACATTAGTTCAAAGACAGGATTTAATGTTTGGCTAAAAGATTGTCTACTATTTACACAATTATATTACAAATCCATTTATGGGCGAGTATTTGGCCAATGGTTAACCGACGGCTAACCTCGGGTTCGAGTATCTTCTGGATCAGGTCTTTGCAGTCATCATTAGTAATGCCAGTCTTTGAGTACTTCTTCTTCAATTGTCTGCGCCTCTGATGTCTCAAAGGGAAGGGAGTCTTACGGGTGGTCATCACGTATAGGACAACTCCGAGAGACCAGCAGTCGTTGGGCTTCGGCTTAAAAGGATGATTACTTAACAACTCAGGGGAACAGTACTCTTGAGTCCCGCAAGTGGTCGCCACCAAAACACTTTGACCGGTGGGCGAGAGATATGAGGTGCGGGCGAACCCAAAGTCAGTCAATTTGGCCACTTTCTGGTCATCAAACAGCAAAACGTTGTCACACTTGAGGTCGCGGTGAACAACGCCCTCGTTATGGATGTAATTCAGTCCTTCGGCCACTTGTCTGAAGATAACGCGGGCTTTACTGTCATCGACGGGACGCTTGAGTTTGTCGATCATGTCCTGGAGGTCACCGCCGGTCGCCAACTCCATCACAATGAAGACACGGGTGGACACGAAGAACGAGTCAAATGTGGTGACAATAAATCGGTGGCGAAGTTTCTTAATGGCAAACAGTTCCCGCGGAAGGAACTGTGTCTTGTAGTCTTGTGTGACATCTGTTAAGTCGATGACTTTG